GCCTGCAGACGCTGCTTGGCCGTTCTCTCGATACGCTTCTGCTCCTCCTTCTCGATGTTGAAGTGTTGCTGGTACATAAGACGGGAGAGTTTGTGCGACTTGGTACGTTGTGAAGAAGCAGACTCTTGAATTTCTTGACGGTGGCTGTAGATAGCTCGAAGGAAATCGGTATGCTTCTTCTTCTCCCGGTTTTCGCGTGCATCGCGTTGCTGCTTCTCGAGCTTCTCCGTGATGCGAGCCTCACGAACGTTCTGCTTCTTCATTCTGCGGAAACCGGATCTGTTGGTGGTCATGGCGAGATTATCATAATGCATCATTTGACGTCCGATCTTATCGCGAAGAGCCCGTTGCTTGGCGTAGAGAGCTATGCTCTTCATCTCAATTATTGCTTTTCGCTTGAGAGAATCATCAGCCTCTAGAGTCTCTTTGGAGGAGTCCCAGTGAGCCAGATCACCAGGCAGATTCTTCAACTCGGCATATCGCTGTCTCATCCTGTTCGAGACAACAACCTCGCGCTCGTATCGCAGGTGATCAAAGTCAATACCGGTGGGGAATACGCCAGGAATGAACCAGCGATTCTTCCGTTGAGAATGATCAAAGTACTTGATTTCAGGGCGAATCATGCTTGTACCATAAGGAGACTTTACTGTCTTAAACGTATGCGCCTTGGGAATTTCTGAGCCCTCATCTTCTGTTGCAGCTCCAGGTCCATTCTGTCCATCTTTGCTGGGTTCGGAGTCTGTCTGGTTCGATTTAGACGCTTGGGTCGCCTGTACGGTATCCGCAACGGTCGCCTGTCTACGATGGCGCTGGTTGAATATGGCCTGCTGCAGCTGTAGAGAGACTCCAGCATTTTTTCCAAGTAACTTGAAAGCATGAATCTGCTGCCGAAGTAGGCCGAGCTGTTGCTGCGTGAAATGGTTTGAAGACGGGGCGGTCGATGGAGACGTTCCAGTCGATGCGGGAGTAGAAGTCGTTTGGTTTGGCATTGCGGAGGCACCGAGCGGATTAGATGGGGGTTGAGTTGATTGGGGTGAGCCTTGCTGCATAGGACGTCCCGGCATAACGCCGTTAGCAGGCGTACCATTTGTCGCATTCTGCATTTGTTGCTTTTGTTGCTGCTGCTGCTGCATGAATTGCTGCTGGTTACGTCGCATGTTGTGTTGCTGTTGAAAGCTCATCAAGAACTGTGAAGCCTTGATATATTCAGGATCCGACGGTGGCACACCTTGTTCCTTCATCTGCTTGAGTTTCTATTTGACGTATCAGCATTGATAGTCCCAAGCAACAAGGAAGATTTAAAAAAAAAAAAAAAAAAAAAAAAATAAAAAGAATAAAGGCATACCCTGAAAACCTCTTCTGCCTGTTGCTTGGTCGCGCCTGCAGGCATTGGCGCGCCTGGGTGCTGGACAGCATGAGGTGCATGCACCGAGGCCATGGTGAATGAAGTCTGCGGCACGTTGACACTTCGATGCTCAAGTCGGTTAATTAGTTGTGCAGATGCAGCTACCTATATGGCATGTCGTGCAAAAGTAGTTGTCGCGCAAGATGGGACGTGCTTAGGCGTCGCGAAAACGAATGTTTGGTACAGAAATTAATTAAGGGATAATGAACGCGTCGAAATCGAAGTAAAAAGGACAGTGATCGATAAAACGTTGGAAGGAGTCGTCAAGAAATTGGCGACACGTCGGTGATGGCGCGTGGGATAACCTTGGCGTGGAGCAACCTTCAAGTTTGGGACGCGGCGGGTGCAGTGAGTTGCTAGAGGCACGGGATGGACACTCGAAGGTCCAAAGAGTCGAGTACTGAAGGGAAAGTGTGCGATGTGGCGATAAGGCGCGTATTGAACCGGTACCGGGGACCGGGGCGGCGTGAAAATCGCGTGCAACACGGATTCGGTGGTTTCTCTGGATGAGAGCCGATGGTTTGAAAGGGCCCTGGCGATTTTTTGGATGCGCGCGCTCGCCGGTTGATGATGGGGAGTGGTGAAGGCACAACTGAACAAGATGCAGCGTGATGGTTGGTGCGGTCTTGAGTCGGCCGGCCAGAGTATTTTTCAGCACGGCCCCCCTGTAAGAGCAAGCAGTTTGTAAATGCGCCTGAGGCAGCCAAGAAGTTGTATTAGGTAATCAGAATCTCTATTCTGGATTGGCTGAGTTAAGATTACATGCACGTGATAACCTTGAGGCCATATGGGCTGCTCTAGTCCTACCGAAACCTGAAGCCGGAGGAGGGGAGACACATCTTCGGTAAAGTAAAAACCAGCAGAACCTCAGACATTAGCTCTTGGCTCAGTATAGAGGCATTGAAAGCACCGAATTCCTGTGTTGCAATTGCTGGAGTGGTTATGCTGTTACGGAATGATAGAGATGGTAATGTAACACGAGCTGGGGAGGCCCAAATACGTAGTAGGCTCTTACTGGACTCTTGCACGTTCCAGACACATTTTCGAGCCCACAACCTCCAGTGTGTGTTAGTGCTCTCACCTCTTGAGCCTTTTCTTGTCGGGGCCATCTTCCTCGTCGCTCAGCTCCGCGTATTGGGTTTGTGGTTGTGTCTTACTCCAGGCTTTGGTAAACATAGGGTCACTCTGGGCCTTGTCTGCGTATTTCAGTAGAGCTTCTCGGGGATCTTCGTGCAGCATGCGTGCAAGAGGGATGTTCTCTGTGATGAGCTTCTCGTCCGGCTGGTTCTTCTGAAATGGTGTCTGTTGGGGGATGTGTGGGCGTCGAGGATCTTTCGAGCGGCCTGATACTGTAACTCCAGATGGCTTTGAGCTTCTCGTCGCACCTGGCACTACAATCGCATCACCAGATACGCCCACAGACTGGTCCATTGTTAATTCAGGATTATCGTCAATATGTCGCTTCTTCGGTGCTCGTGACATGACGTCTACAGCGCCTCGACTCGACATCTGCGGATTGTACAAGACGTGGGTCTCGGCATTAGCTGAACCTGTAACGATCTGATTAATCTTCGGATGCCAATCCACTGTGATGAGTGGTGACCCAGGTGTTATTTCAGTGACATGTTCGGCGCGTAGATTGCCAGGATTCAGAATGTGGAGATGACCGGTCGCGGAGCCGGTGATGATGCTTGTCGAATTTGGCGCATACTTGATGTTGCTCGTAGGGAAATGGTCCGAAGTTGAGATATGTGCGGCTGTCACGAGAGGCTTCGTGAATTTGCGGGTGTCCCAGAGTTTTATCAAATCATCGCCTCCTCTTGTGACTACCATGCGACCGTCGGACGATATATCAATGCCACTGGTCCACGTTTGCGGTGTATGTGCGTCGCGTATTTCTCCTGCAGGTCGTGAGAAAGGACTATTGCCACTATACATGACTAGTGAGCCATCCAAAGCTGCTGCGACAAGGACGTTGCTGCCTCCCTGGGGTGAAGACCCCCATGCAACAGCTGTCATCTTAGTTCGACCAGCAGAGCCAGCGGCTTTCGACTTGAACACAACGACATCTCGCTGAGTCCGTTTGTTGTTGATATCCCAAATCCTCAATGTGCTATCTGTACCCGCAGTTATGCACAAGTTCTTATCAGTGGGGTGCCAGGTTCCTGTCGTAATCTCGGATATGTGGCCCTTGGTGTTGTGCATGTCACGAAGATACATGTCTCCCTTCACAAACTCCGTAACAATGTCGCCGTCCCGGGACATGATCTTCGCTTGGGGATGCGCTGACACACAAAGAAAGACACCTCCTGCGAGGGGATTGAATTCAATGCGGTGGATAGGATGCGATTGAGAGTTAACGTCGGATGCCTTCGTTTCGTAGGGGTCGACGGAGCGGAAAGATCTCAAAGTGCTGGGAGTCATGGAAGCAAAATCATGCAACTTGACAGTACAGTCTGTAGAAGCGGTTGCTAAGCGTCCTCCTGCAGGATCTAGCGAGACCGTGGTAACAGCGCGATCGTGAGTTTTGAGAACAAGCTCGTGTGATACAGGGAATTCATCTTGGTAGGAATCGTCGCTGTTGTCGCTATCGGAGTCATCACTAGAATCTTGCTTTTTCTTTCCACCGCTGACTTCTGGGACTTTGTCGTTGACTTTTCTGCGACTTCTCTCGATCTGGGCTGCGACATCGGCTTCTTTCGATTTCTTCCCAAAAGACGTGGGCAAGAAAGCTCTCATGGGATCGTCTGCTGCCAGTTCGGGCACTTCGATCTCGAAATCATCGTCGGAACTCATGGCAAACAGCTTGATTGTCGGTCGCCAAATAGGAGGAAGTAAGAACGAGGTTACGTGGGGGCGAGGAGGCGGGAGATATTTACGAATGAAGTAGCCAGGCAGTTGGGCGGTCTGATCTGCTTGAACTTGGGCGGCGTTGGTTGGGTTTGTCCACCGCCCCGGTTCTTTTATTTTAGTTCAATTTGAAGGATATATCCATGAATTGAGACATCGTCTCATCAACTGCTGTTACCAAAGCCCGTGCTTGTTAGTACTGGCCAAATTTTTTTTGGCGCTGTTTCTTCATGGTTTATTTTCGATACATACCTTTGTAATTTATTCAGGAAGACTTACCAGCTGTTAACTGAACTGACAATGCTAGGTGTGTCAGATAGTGAAGTGTGGTCGCATATCCGCATTCCATTACACCGCCAAATGGAGTTTCAGGTGCTTCAGACACATCCTTTTACAATAAAGAAAGACCTCAGTTGTCTATTTATGCATGAATCGGCCAGAAAATACTCGGTTTGCGGCAGCTTTTCTGTGCAGGAAGCACTTCTGTTCCCTTGTTGGTTGCATTCGATTCTAAGGACAGGACCGTGGAGTTTCGATGGCCATTTTGTGAGCATTTTTATTTTACTCAAAAAGTAGAGTCAATCCATGGCATCTCTCTTTAATGAAATCGCTGAATAGAGCAGACATCTTACGATAAGGAGTATACTTTGTGTCTCATCTCAACGTTTTGGGTGATAAAGACGACAATACATATTGATTGATTGGCTGCTTACCGTGACCCACTTCTTGACCGAGAGCAGACCTACACTTCACCTTATTGAGTCATCTTAACTTTACGCGACAAGCATAACAGAGCGCCAAGTTCCAACATCACAGTTGCCAGAATGCCTCCAGACTCTCTGTTAGACGAAGACGAGTCATACGTATCCTCGGAAGACTCAGACTTCGCTCTGGATGATTCACCCAACCAGACTTCCGACCACTCTGACCTAGAAGATCACAGCGACAAAACAACCAACAAACGAAGTCATTCACAACATGAAGCCGATGCGGGATATGACAATTCAGGTGATGAGGCGATCATAAAAAGGGGCGAAAAGCGTCGTAAGAAAACGCAAGCAAAAGGCGTGCGTGAAGACGGCGAGGGTGAGGGCGGTTTGATCAAGACTCGTAGACAGCGTGCCGCTGAGTATGTCTCTGATATCTAGATCCCTCGGTGCGTTCCACTGACAAGCAATATCAGGAAAGAAGAGCGTAAATATGCGACAAACAACGAGCCAGTCACTATTGACGTTGATGCGCTCTGGGCGCAAATGGTATCCAAACCACCATCTCAAGAAAGCAAGGACGACCAACCCAACAACGCAGATATAGCTACCAACTTTATTGACAAGCCAAACGACTCAGCTCAACAAAAACCCAATTCCATTATATCGGACTATTCGTCAGCAATGATTCGCATCAAACGCTCGTATAACTTTGCTGGCCGAGTTCACATAGAGGAGAAGCTGGTTCCGCGCGACTCAGCCGAAGCAAAGCTTTATCTTGCCTCACAAGGTCAAAACGCGCCCGAAAACAGCCCTGAAAAGCGCATTACCAGGAAGGCATTCCGATCGGCCTTCGAGCCTCAGGCGGATCTTCTACCCCAGCGGGCAGATCTGAATCTCGGAATGGCCGCCCGCACCAAGGCTGGCAAAGAAGCACATGCCAAGAAACTCAATGTTGTCGAGAAGAGTCGTATGGACTGGGCTGGTTATGTGGACAAGGAGGGCATCAAGGACGAGCTTGAGTTGGCTGGCAAGTCCAAAGATTCATACATGGCCAGAGAAGACTTCTTAGCAAAGAGCGAGGCACTAAGAGAAGAGGACTCGAGAAGGGCAAGGCTTGCTGGAAAAGTTTGATTTATCCTGTATTCTTGGCGTTTTGGCACGATACCATGGGGCTTAGCATCACTTTCCATACACTTCAGGCGTTACACGGTAGTTATATAGGCCTGCCATTGGACGAGGCAAGTGTCTACAATAATGGGTACGTCCAAAGGTCTCTCAAATAATTTTGGCTTTTCTTGAATATCGGAAACCAATCGTTTGTTTTGTTCGGAATTTTTGCCATGATCGTAAGCTACCACTTAATAACACATAGTGGGGCAGCCTTGTTGTAGTGGGATGCGAGGCTGAAAACTACCTGTAGCCAAAAATTCCTTCCAACATCATAATCCGAGCTCTTCGTTTATCATTCCAGACTTTAAATCAAATCCGCCAGCAATGGCTGTCTTAGGCAAGCGTAAAGCAGAGCCTGAGCCTGTAATATCCGAAGAAGATGCCGCAGCCATTTTCAGACGACATTTCGAGGCGCAATTTGCACCCTTGCCAGAGGCAGAAGCCGCTAAATCGAAATTTGAAAAGACGAAACATGAGAAAAATAGCAACGACATCGAGAGCGAGGAAGAGGAAGAGGACACCGACAGTAGCAGAGATGACGACGAATGGGGTGGCCTCTCCAACGATGACTCTATTCAAGAGGAAGAAGAAAATCCAACAATAGAGGTCGTAGACCACTCGAGCAAGCAACCACCGAAACCAGCGGCAATGTCAAAACGAGAGCTTAAAGCTTTCATGGTATGCATTACGTCCTATCGATCACTCCACAATATAGCACTAACAGGATATCCTCCAGTCATCACGACCTCCAGAGCAAATAACATCCAAAACCGAGCAGCCTCTATCAGCAACTTCATCCCCATCAGCCACCCTCCCTGAAGACGCACCCTCCCTTCTCGCTCAAGACCTTGAACTCCGACGACTCCTTGCAGAATCGCATCTTCTCGCGCCGACTATTTCAGCATCGGGTACTACCATTGCGCCAAAGGCTTTTGCTACGGGACGTACTCGTCAGAAGGCAACAGACTTGCGCGTCCAGGCTCTAGGATCCAAAGTATCGATTCACAAGCAAGAAAAGATGCCCATGAACATGCGCAAGGGTATTGTTGCTGCGGCAGACGCTCGCGAAGCAAAGCGAAGGAGAGAAGCTAAGGAGAATGGAGTAATCCTTGAACGAGAGACTGGCAAGAAGAAGGGTCGGAGAGATAGGGGAAGAGACTTTGCTGTCGACCGACCCGGAGTTGGTAGACTCAAGGGGGCAGAATTACGCTTGAGCGACAAGGACATCAAGAGCATAGAGGGTGGACGAGATGCGTTTGGTAGGAGGAGCCGGCGTTGACACAGTATTCGCACTTCCAATTAGACACCATCATCACTTTGAGCGGCAAGGTTTAGAAAGCGATGTAAAAAACAACGGTTTCTTCTTTTAATCTACCATGCATGTGACCCTTCCTAGTCAACACAGGCTCCCAGACATAATGCTAAGGAATACGCCCTTATTCAAGGAATAGGAACCATATAGATACAGATGCTTCCTCTGTCCACTTCAACTAAACATGTTCGTGATGCTCTTGACTACATGAGAATCTTCTCAGAAGCTATAAGAGCGTGAATCTATGGGGGCCATATTTTAAGCACAGGTAAGCGCTTCCAACCAAAAAAGAAAATTTAAAATATGAACAAAGGAAAAGTCAAGCACAGCGCACGCAAATAACCGTTGCAGATTTCCACCAAATTTGAAGCCATAAATCCCTTTAAGTCATGATCTGAGCACAGCTAAAATGACAAAGTCGTGCGCAGGTTTGCCGTTACATCATACCGCTTGCGTTGATAGCAGCCGGTTGACTCATTGTCATGGGCATACTGAGAGTCTCGAGACTATTATATGGTTGTGTGGGTGCGAGACTTGAGGGTGGAGTTGAGCCATGCGCAGCAGCGTTCAGGGAGCCGGTCACATAGGCGCTGTCAGAGTGTGGTGAGGCTTCTTCGAGTGAGCCAAGGTGGTCGTCACCAGAGAAATCCTCATCTTCTTCGCCTGACAGGTTCAAGGAACCATCTCCACCATCTTCACGGCCATGAGTACGCTTGTGTCTAGTACAGGGTATTAGTTAACAACTCCGTTGTATGGTTAGGTCTGCAACATACTGTGCCAGGTTATCGGATCTTGAGAATGCTTTACTGCAGTGGGGACAGATGTAAGGTCTCTCTTGTGTATGTGTTCGCACATGTCTATACCTCTGGTTAGGCTTCGCACCTTACTACGAGACGGCGAACTTACCGCTTGAGATGTTCCAAACGCTTGAAAAGACGGCCACATGTAGGAATGGGGCAAGAGTGTGACTTCTGAGGATAGGGGCCAACTTCCATGACTGTCGCGGAGCGAGCGCGTCTAACAGCGCCGTTGGGAGCAGGAACAGAGCGGCGCTGATCAGTGACATCACCAGGAAATTCCTCGCTAGCAAGATGAGGGAACTCTTGCTGGTGCATACCCATCGAGTGGGCAGCAGGGCTTCCTTCCACAGTCGATAGGGGGGTGCCATGCCTTGACATATTCTGGTGGTGCTGGGTGTTCACAGACACTGCGGAGGTGCTGTAGGAGAGACCAGGGGGTGAGTTGTCTGCCGATTCATCACCTTCAGCTACGGGGCCAACTGAGGCAGAAATGGATCGGCGAAGCTCAGAAGGTCGGTGAGTGTGAGTGTGTGAGGCTGCTTGGGCAGTAGCAGCTGGGGTCGTAATTGCCGACATAGATGGAGGAATGGATGAACGCCGTCTTCTCTGCTTATATGTCGGCGAACCTTCGATCACAGAGTAGACGTTGTTTGTACCGTAGGGGCGAGAGAACTGAGGGCCAGCCAAGTTGGAAGGTGGCAGTTGAACCATGCCGTTCAGACCGTTCATGCTAGCCATATGGTCAGGAATGGCCGAGTATAAGCCTGTCTCCTCATTGGCGATATACGCAGGCTCAGCCGAGATACCCAACGCCTGTTGAGGGGGCGTAATGGGTTCGAAGGATATTCCTCGATTGCTGTAATCCTCGTACTGAGAGGAGACGAATGAAGGGGCTGGCGAATACTCGAGACCATAAGCAGGCATGGAAGCATGACGCTGGTGTCCTTGAGTGATTGGGACACCATGCTGGTTGTACTGAACACGGGTGAAATCAGGTTCCCTCTTGACAGGGACGGCTTGGGCCATGGGGTGAGCCACCGCCATCGTGCCATAAGGTACCATTGCGTCCATCCCCTCCGCCAAAGGGGGCATGGACTGGGGCATCATTGTCGGGGGAGGAGGCATAGAGTCCATCGCACGCATGACTGGGGACGTGGACTGGCTCTGACTGAAAGCAGACTGCTGGGCGCTGAATGAGGAGGAGTTGGCTTGTTGCGCCTTAGTCAGTTGCTCATAGAGCGACTGAGACGAGTCGTACTGAAAAGACAGAGCCGGTTCGCTGACAGCAACGGTGGTGGCTTCCTGACCCATCTTCTCACGCTTAAGATCGCGTTCCAGCGCGTCAAGAAACAGACGGTCGTGTGGGACACTGTACCAGTAAAAGACCTTCTGCTTCTTTTGTGTTCGGATGCAGTTGTTCTTGTAGAGGAAGTCCAGGAAGGCACTCTTGGGCTCCTCCAGAGAAGCATCAGTTCCAGACTTGAGATTTCGCAAGTCAGAGAAGATGCCCTCCTCAAACTTCTTGGAGTTCTTGACAGGACGGCCAAAAGCCTGGAACCGGAACGACAGGCATCTCACAATATCTGTACCAGAAATGTGAAAAAGGTTGTTCCTAAGGTCAAGTTAGCAATCAAGCCCGTGGCTGACCCTGTCAATTTCATCTTACCAGAGAATGCAAGAGACATATTCGCCAGTTGGCAACAAGAATCGGCGAATGTACTGATCGGGCTGCCAGTCGACAGGGGCTGAGATGAGGAAGTACTTTACTAAGAAGGTGTCAGAACACAAGAGGCAACTTTCTCACATTGAGGACTCACAGTTGTCAACTTGCTGCAGGGCGACTTGGGCATCATGAGGCAGAGCTTGCTGAGCCTCAGTACTCAACATGAAGGTTTCGGGCTTCTGGGGCGCCATTGTAGAGTGTTGTGGATACATCTTGCCTGGCTCTGAAAGTGTTGTCTATAGTGACGTGACCGTGGTTGGTCAGTCGAGTTGATGGCGCTCAACGGCCGGAAGTCGTGGCGAAGCGAACCGAAAAGTCTAACAGATAGCAATCGAAACTCGTAGTAAGCAAGTAATGGCAAAACAATCAACAGTTTTAGCCAGATTCGATGAGAATAAAATGGTCGAGGCGCAGCCTGGATCCGAGTATAAATAATGATGGGAATGATGCTTGTTGACCAAAATTCGAGACCAGCCCGGAATAATGGAATCGCTGCGCAATGCGATTCAAGACTCAGCAACCGCGTCAAGCGAATGTGACTGAGAGGCGTCTGGAGTGCAACCGTCAAGGCGTAGGCGATGGTGGGGGGTCGAAGTCGAAGTTTCGCGCGAAACAAGAAATCGAACCAGATTAAAGCTATAAGCAAGCAACAATGGGGAAGCAAGAAAAGAAAAGATATCAACAGAGCCGTAGAGCAATGTTCATCAAGAGCGAGCAGTGGCTTCGTGAAGAAAAACGAAGGACAGCTGAGAGCGAAGCGGCGCGTTGAAGATGAACTTGAGACGTCGGGGGAGAAGACGGCTTCTATTGAGATGGAAAGAGAAACGAGTTTGAGGGCAACTCCGGAATGGGTCCGCGGAGTGTGGAGCGAGGGGAGGGGAGAAGGGAGGAGGGTAAAATGAAGGGAAAACAAAACGACAAGAGGAAAAGATTTCGGGAGGGAAATCTGAGCGGGCGAGCGAGGATATACGGGGGTTTAATGAGATGTTGCGTGGGAGAGTGTCGCGCCGATGGGTCTGGGTAGCAAGTAAGGCAAAGGAAGAACAAGGCAAGTAAGTGAGTTAAGAGACGGAGACCCATGGAAAGGAGGACAAAGTAACCCAAGGGCAAGTACCTGGGCCTGGCATGGCAGGTGCGTGCGGACAGATGGGGTGGGTTCCAATTAGGTTGGGATTGGACTTCTAGAGCACGCGCCAACCTGAAAAGCGAACGACGGCGTTGCGAGGGCGGGAGAGCAGCCACATACCACGCACGGTGCTTTTGGGGAGGAGCCAGGTGGGATGGAGGGTGGAGGCTTGCTCGTCAGCAACGGGAGTAGCGGAGTCAAGGTCAGAGCATGATTCAGCGTGCCAATCAGAGACAACAAGTGGAGGCTCATCATTCTGCTTGCGCCGGAGCAGGCACAGTGTGGCTTCCTCTTTGCTCCCTATGCACTGCAACTAAGAACCTACCTATAGATGGGAACGATAACGGACAATGGATGGATTCAGGTCACCTTTGATGGAACCTGCAATAGCTCTCTATTCCATGTCATTAATCCTATACTGCTTCTTGTTCCCGCTCGTCTTCTTTCCACTTATACATACGCCTCTACCCTGTCACTTTAGCAATCACCTAGACGCTTTTTGGTCTTTAGTTTATTATGGATTAGAAACCCCTGGAAGACCAAAAACTGGGCCAGTCTATGCTCTGGCAGTCTGGCTAGGAACGAACTCACATGGAGGCATGAGGCATTCTACGGTACAGTACTGTACAGTGCCATGCCCTATAGCATCACAACAGAAGTGACGAAGCTTATACGTTCGACACGGTGCCTCCGCACAGAGTGCTCCAGACAGTTCCCATATGAAAAGCGGGCTTGGAGCCTTGGTATTAGCATGTACACGCCCTTCATTCTTTGATATTATCGGTATGTAGTTGGGTGGAAGGCGTCGTGAAGCTCATCTCAAGTACCTTTTAGTAGGCTCCAACTTACGACCAGCACAAACGACGATAACTATTAGGTGAAGAAACAAGAATGGCTTCCCTGGCGGCGTGCAAAGAAGAGATGTGGACGTCAACAACGCCAACCAAGTCCTTCACCATTGGCTCCCTTGACTACCAGGTATTACAACAGTATCGACAGGTTGGTTCCACGCCCCTGCTTCAAAACAAACCCACGCTCCCTTCCGCGTCGGACGAGACTGACAAAATAGGGTTGAGGCCGAAAAGATCGACAAGGGTCGCGGAAACAAATCCAGAGTTGCATTTGCACCTAAGCAACGTGGGTAACGGCCCTCATTCTTGTCTTTGATTGCTGTCTCGCAACCATTATAATTCAAAGAGACAATGACTGGGGAAATGAATACAAAGCCCAAAAACTGAAACGTAAAACACAGACGGTTCTTGACCTGGCCGCGTCGTGCCGCTTGTCTCAGCCTAATAATTGGATCTCAAAGGCCTCTTTGAAGCCTAGCTTGAAAGTGTCTGAGCCAATCTCAAAACTGCTACACACACATCACCCGGCCATGGATGCTAGTGAGGTTCAATCAGCAACATATCAACTTCAGTGACCAGTAAGCAAGGTGTACCTTACTTCATAGTCCCCTTGATGGTCGGACAGTATTGTGTCGGGTTTTCGGTTGATTCGACGACTTTCATGAAGAATGGGTAGCGGGGTTTTCAGAGATTGGCATAATTACTATTACTGCTAGTCAGAACGCCTGAACCATCGGATGCTTTAGCGCTGTCGGCCAACCATGCTGGGTTTTCGTTTATCATCAGTTTCGAAGCCAAAGTTTCCCACAGATGCCAGCGACAGAATGTGGCTTTTGCCCAAACGAGCGTCGCAATTTCATCGCATGTTCAAGAGTCAATCTCGGAGATCACTATCTTACCATGCATTATAGTGTTCCTGCTAAAAGCATTGGGGCCAATTCATGTTCAATGCCTCGGCCTACGCTCTCCTAGCAAGCAGCAATTCCTATTATTACCAGGCACCACATTATTAATATGCAGGAACAGTCCGGTTACAACGTGGGTGGCCGGTCTAAGCTACGATCATAATGAAAGCAATAATTGATATCCTAAGGCCATCCCTTGGATGTCAAGAAAAGGGGTCAATGATGTCTTCGAAGATTTCAAGCCATCTATTATGTGTTTGATTACTACCGAGCACACAACAAGAGTAATCTACCAGTTGATGAAGCGAGATGGGTCCATTCTCCCTTGAGATCCCCCAATCGAACACAGACGCAGATTGCTCATCTAGTTGTTCTCGAGGGACTACCTCAGGTCCGTACAGTAGATCGCTCGTTGCATATGCACGACATAGCATTCATTATTCATGCTTGTTGAGCAACCAAACTTTATTCATTCATGTGGAGAAATTGTGCTATATTGACCACAAGGGCAGTGGTCATAATAATGTTCTCAAATTATTATCAACCATGTGTTTGCCAGCCAATACTCCATACAGCCCGTAACTACTTTACAAAACATCAACTGTTATTCTAAAACTGTACATGATAGATTTCAATTGATAATAAGGACATACTGCATCGCAAACATCAATATCAACAGAGCCTCATTGCAGAAATCAGCCCCCAAGCCACTACGTAGTTTCGTAGAGAAAGCATCATAGCGGGGAGATGCGCCCATGGGTAAGACCCAGAAAGAGCGTTTGATAAACAATCCCCGGCTATTGACGATCCCTTGAGCTGGATTCCACTCTGCAACGTCTGTGCCATCTTCTTTTGCTTCCATTCTCCTCTTCAGATCAGAAATGCCGGTGTGTTCCGCTAGCCAGTTGTGAGTCCTAATGCAGGACAAGGATATCCTTTCGACTTGCAGGATCAATTGTCCACACATCCCTGCCAGGGCTGTGTTAAGACAACGTCTTCATCGAGGTGAAACGTACCCGCAGGACTGCATCAGAGACCACATCCTCGCCTAGATGCTTGTGCACCAGTGATGCAGGACATCTGAAACCATCACACCCTTCAATGTATCCTGGATTGACAACCTAGGCGACCAAGAGGGTAGCTGGGTTGTTGGGTTACTCTGTTTTATGATTTTATCAAACATGATCGAATCATCTTCACGCTTTGCAAGGACTGTACGTATGTACATTCGTCCCAATTATTTTCTATATTGATTGGATACGAGTGCGTTGTTTTATGGACCAATATTCATTCCCATTACCTTTTTCCGTGGATTGACAGTTTGGTCGACTGGTTGAGAACTCTGCTGAACATTCGAATGTGAAAGCAGCAGGGAGCCTGTTGTTGAGCTTCTCAAAAGAGTTTGGTTTGTTTGGCTACCAGGATTTCCTGTTTTTCTCGAATCGTTATTATTGCCAACTCCGATAATCGCAGCTTCACCGAGACATTGTGCAAGCGAGTGCGGTATTGTGTGGCTTCCATGTCATTAATTGGGATACAATATGTGCGCCATCATGATCTCTCACATTTGCAGCCAAGCAACTAACAAGATCGGTCTGGATACGAGTAAGACTTTTTTCTTGATTTCTTGCTGGGGTTGACTTAACATTGAACCCAACGCCGTGTCTTGAAAGGATCTCATTATGACTTGTCAGATGAGATATCTGAACGGGAACCAGCTATGTCTGATTTACGGTCAGTGGCCTTCGCTTCATCAAATCCTCGGAGTCAACATCAATGAACCAATACGATCGAGTACCAGTTACTCAGTGGCTGGAAAAGTATGGTTGCATTGACTATTATGGTCAACATTACCCCTGAGTAATTTAAGATTACAATGAGATGCGTGACCACACGCGAGCCTGTGACCTCTGATTCGCGCTTTTGCGGGCCACTACAAGTCTTGAATGTCATGGCCTCATCTGTCTCTGCAAACTGGGCCTGTTTTGTCACTTTGTTCTGAGCGACACGAGTCACTCACTGGTGGCCCAGCTACTACGGAGTACGTTGTCCGTCCACATACCAAACGGTGCATCCACTCAGCTTGAGGTTAAAAATAATCTCGCATTTTCTGACCGCAAGCCAACGGTCGAGCGTCTATCCTACCAATCCGACATCAAATCCACAAGGCAGTGGCAGCGGCTTGCATTCACTGGGCCTCATTCCGTTTGACCTGCTTGACCTGCTCGGTTTTTAGCACTTGATAGCCAAGAACTTCGCCGGACGGGCCGCCACACAACTTTCAACGCTGGTGTTTCAAAAGCTGGTGTGTGTCCGAGTTTAAGTTGAGCGTCTGACATGGACCAATCACAAATTTAAGAATATTCCCTGTCGGCGTCACGCAAGATTTCTGTAGTCAAGACCCCGCAAGGGGTCCAGTTTGAGGTGCGTCTCGGCTGCTCAATTGGCTGTATCAAGTGTTCGCCCCAGCATCATCTTTATGCTTCATCTTCGTTCCAGCCTCCTGTGTTTTCGTTACATGCCAGAAATAGCATCAATACTATGTTCGTCAACCCAGCCGGCAGGGGATGGTCGCCGATCGGGCTGTCTCCCGGCGGTGGACCAATTCTTAGGGGTTTGTTTTTTCTCACTGGGATGTCAAGGATTAAGCTGATGGTTATCTTCCAGGCACAACCGTCACCTCCTCGTCAACTCAGCGCTAACTGAAGTTTCTCAGTCGAAGCCTGAAGGGCCCAGAAAGGGGCCGATTATGTCTTCACGAGGCCAAGACGAATCTACGAGACTTGCGTATAGTTTCGGAAAGTTTGGCCTGGGGTTGACAAAGATCGCTGTCATATAGTACACCCGTTTGTACAATCGACCCGCCCTTCAGTTGAGATTATCGCTGCCGCAAGCGGAATGTTCTATTCAGCTGAGAACTAAATTTGGTCGACTAGGTTTCTACCCTGCTGCCTCAAAGAGAAGATTCTGCATCTAGAACAGACTAATGACCTGAAACAGCCCAAGCCCCAGCCAGCGATCAAATTCACGATATGCTGCCCTGTTATCAGCTTCATTAGGAAGTGTACCAGTTGGTCCGTGTTAAACTATTCGCTGTAACCGAGATCTGTGTGGTCATCAAACTGAACTCCTTGGGCATCGTTCGACAACAATCCTGGAATTCGGCACTCTGGTACATCGATAACAGTACTTTGTGGCTCAAAGCCTTTTCACATCATATTGCCGAGATCGTGAAACGGACCCTGCCATCTGCTTCAAATACTTGAAACACCAAACCTCCAGCCACCAGCTTTTCCAGAAGATCTTGAAGCAGGCACTTTGCGCTGTCGGCCGTCAGACCTGTCACTTCATACTTCACACTCCTGTTTCCGGGGCATCAGGGGTCCATGTTCGCTTGTTCCTGCATATACGACCTCTCTATGCACAGCCAGACGTGATGCCCTCCTCCCTTGAGTCATGTTACCCATGGGTTATGAATTGAGGTAGTGGCTGAGTGGGTGTTCTTCTGCTATCCTTGGTGAAGCGAGCCAAGTCTTCAAAGTTTCAGCATACTTGGCACGCTATTCTCGTGAACCTGGTTTAACTGACTTCCTCATATGGCATCTAGGTATCTGTGAATGCAACATCATTCAAACAAACGGGGTATGTCAAACTCACTTACGCCACTTGATTGTTTGATCGGCAACTTCTCTGTCCCTGTTCTCGGTCGTGATCTAGATCCGAAAGTCGGTTTCGAAGCGAGGTGGTTCTCATGACATTGGAAACAAAGGTCAATGCTATGGCAGAACACTTTAGAGCACTTGGTTCAGGGTTTCCATTATGACGTTTTGTGTCGCCACTCTATCGTTCTTCAGCATAGCATTTCCCCGACCACTCTGCCAAGACGGTATTACTCTCTAGTTTATCGGAAAGCTCTTCTCATGATCAGAACAGATCCGAGTCTGGACCACGCGCCCCATCAAGGCTCCTCATTGTGAAACAATGCAACTATCAGAGCTTCCTCATCGACAAGCCCAACTGTGATGGCATAACGTCGCTGACGACAAACCCACAGCTCTGCATCCTCCCGAGTGGTTGGTTTCCGGTGGTCAATACTTTGAGGGTCGTCAGACTAAATCGGCCTGTCACTTGAAGGCCTCGCCCAGGCTTACCAGGATAGAAGGATCGCCACTGTCTTTGGTTGAGCAGAATCTTCAGCCCCTCCAGTTGCATCTGCTTTCTCCTCCGTGGTTGATCTGGCAGCCACCGTGTGCGCGTGCTGAAAACTAGCTCGCTGATGTGCTTGTTTCGAATAAGCTCACCTATCTTAGATTCTTCCTAGATGACCGGTCAAGACACCAGATATGGGTTCTAAGGCGCGTGTCTAGACGTAGGTAAACCAAACAGTCACGATATAAATAGTAGTCTCCCTTATTTAGTTGTTTGTTTTGTTTCTGAAACGTTCCATAGGTTGTCGTCCCTCGAAACCGGTCAGGTTCGCGAATGGCCGACCTGCAGCTGTATTAAAGAGTCAGCGCATATTGAAACGCAGGCACAAGACAACCCCAAAGGCGGTATGCGCCTGTCTGGTAATTCTGAGGATTATGAGATAACGTGCTTTGTTTTTGCTGGGAGCTAGTTAATGTAGATGAAATAGTATAGGGTAGATTCGAAGCACCCAGTTCAATTACTGTTCCATCCTAAACTCAGAACCAGTCCGCCCACTAATGTCATTCTGTTATCAACTGCACTGCGCAGGTAACTTAGTTTAATGTGAGTATATAGTGGTGGTGGTTAGGAACCACCTTGAGTATGTATCTATGGCTAGTTTCCTACAGTGGTGATGAGACCTAGACGAATTTGGCATGGAGTTCAACGAAAACAGCAATGTAAGTTAGAAAATGAGAATCAATAATTGTACTAAGAAACTCCTGAATCATGTCGTTTGAAGAATCCGATGAATCCTCACGAACTGTTCGTAGAGCATCAATGGGCTATCAAAGCACAATATTTTAAAAACCCTATCTAAATATATATACATATTCGCTACAGCCACCAACCCACACCCCCATGATTTCAAGTCTGGGAAGAGATCACTATTCAGTTCCCATAACAGTTCGAAGAACTCTTTAAGATCTCGCCTCCTCCAATTCGAGCTCAAGCTGTCGGATGCGCTCGCTCTGATCCTGGGAGCCGGAGCTAACCTTACGCTTGAGAGCCTCGACTTCTGCGGTGAGCAGGGTGATCTGTTGGCTCTGAGAGTTGATAAGCTTTGTCTGGCCTTCGATGAGTTGCTTGATCTCCGCAAGAGAAGAGTCACTACCGCTGGGGGTGGAGGAGACAGCTCGGGGGGCTGAAGGTGTGACGGCCGGAGCCGCAGAAGCGGAGGCAATAGGAGCTTTAACTGGCGAAGAGGGCTTCGCAGTGACGGAAGTCTGAGGAGTGGAGGCAGTCTGCGATTGAGCAGGAGGAGTAAACTTTGCCGGGACAGCTTGACGCTGAGCAGGTCGTGAAACCTCCTCGAAGCTGGAAGCATCATCATCCTCCTCCTCCTCCTCCTGCTTGTCCTGGTATCTGGAAGCCATAGCAGAGATCGATCCCTTCTGTTCATTCATAGTGGGAGGAGGAGATCGTAGTGCCGGAGCTGGCTTGGATTCTTCCTTCTTTGGCTCCTCTATCTTGGGTGCAGGCTTCTCAGTGACAGGAGAGGGAGCTGCAGGAACCTTGTAGTCAGAGGCGATCTCCTTGGGTGCAGTGCCGTCGTAGACGCTCTCGAGGTCAATCTTGTTAGGGATAGCAGTCTTGCCATCGAGCCATTCCTTAGCAGTCGCGGCGGGCTTGGTGCCAGTGGCAGGAGGGAAAATATCAGCCTGGAAGGTCTCGGCGCGTCGTGGCACAGTGAATGAGATAGGCTCAATGTAAGAGTCGTTGACTGTTTTGTAAGCCCTCATGACCTCATTCTCGTGGGTCTAGAACTGTTAGTAAATGTAACACAAGATTCGATACAAGAAAACTGTACATTGATGCCCCGTCGGGGCATAAAGGCGATACCGCGCTGGGGGTCGCCGGATTTGTACTCGCTAAGGAACTCGAACTTGTCGTTCTCGTATTCAAAGTATCGAATGTTGCCATCACTGAGCAGTGTTAGTATTGTCGCGAAATATGCAACAAGATGAGAACTTACCCCTTGCCAGCAAGGTACAGGCAGTTTGAACCATCATCTATCACGTATTTAGCATTGGCGCAGCCCGAACGGTGGAGGATAGACCTTACCCCAGAAAGGCATGCAGACGCCAGAGATGGAATCCAGCATGGTGAATCCGCCGATGGGCTCCGTCCTGCCAGGCTCCCAGAGGGCTATTTGTCGTTCACTCATACGCGAGAAACCGGTCGTAGCGAAGCGGTTGTGCTCTCCCAGCCAGACAGCGCGACTGTTCTTGGCACCACCATGGCCGGGCGCTTCGTGAACGGGTTTTTCCTGTCGGACATCCCACACCCGAATCTTCTTATCTCGCGAGGTGGTAACGAGCATGCTACCGCTGGCATTCCATGACAGACTCTGGACGATATCGTTGTGCTTGAGAGTAAGAGGCGACTGGCCGGTGCCAACGTCCCAAAGCTTGACGGTGAAGTCACCAGACGCGGAGGCGAGAATGTTTTCGGCCGCAGGATTGAAAAGGACCTGTCCGACCTTTCTGATCGGGGATTAGTGACTTAATTGGCAAGCGATAATATGTGAGACCAACCTGGGGTGGCCAGCAAGCTTGCTCACGGGTGCGACATCAGTAATCTCCTCGGCGTCGGTATGCAGCGTAAAGCCCTCGGGGACCTCCCATATAAAAACCTTTCCATCATCGGATGCAGAGGCGATGATATTGTCGTGGAAAGGGTTCCTTGAATCATCGTCAGCACCTACGCAGCTCAGGGGCCCAACAAGGGGAATGCATACCAGTCGGTATCGAGTACCGCAGCAGTATGGCCACGAAACAGTGGGATCTGGTCGGGGAGCTTTCCACGCTCATTCAGAGGAATAACAGCGAATGCGCCGCCACCGGAGGCATCCCAATTGACTGAGAGATACTCGGGGTTGACCTAAACGAACCCAACCACCCCCTAAATCAGCGCGCCGAACTCTCCAGTTGAAAGACTGATTGCACCACGCGCCGCGGTGCAGTACGACGCACCTTGACCAAGTTTGTGTCCCAAGCATTGCGACTGATATGGAGATTGTCGTAGCAAAATTCCTTTCTCGTGGACTTTCCAAAGACGTGTCCTGGCGAGCAACGTCAGCATAACGGATCTGGGCGCGGACGGTTTGCGCCAGCACGTACGATACTTGGACGCCCGTACAAAACGGCCGGCCATGGTGATTCGTAGTGATTAAGAGTAGATTAAATAGAATGACTGTGTATAAGGCGACAAGAGGTTGTTATTCGAGAATCGATTAAGTCGCTAAAGGGTCAACTTGGCAACGATGCCGTGGTTGTAGCTGGAAAGGTAAGATGTACTAATACGGGGTGAGGTTCTGCAGCTAAGGTGTGAGCCACTATAAATTACGCTGCGCCTCACAAGCTCCCCGCTAAGATATCCAGGTGGGTCGTGCCACTCAACATCGCTCGCATGAACATGAATACGTGTTGTTCGTGGGTTGTCACGTGCCATCATCTACAACATCACCATGAAAAAACCTAGCAAAGTACTTCTCTTACACTTAGTGACATTTTAGACGATCATTATAATCCCATGCTATAAACTGAAATCCCTTGGCGCGCAAGCGCCTATTACCCCGAGAAACAAGTGAAACAATAATAAGCCATGTCCTTGCCGACGCCTTGTAAGTGCATAAACGGCCAATGCTCCCAATTTCCTCAGTCAAGGATACAACAGCCCTCCCAACTCCAATCATATTACAACATCAACGTAGTATCCCATCAACCGTCAACCATATAAACCAATGCCAGAAGAATGGAGAACAGAGACATCTATCACGGATATCCTGCTGGTCCTGAACGCCTGGTCCAGGTAGTAGTGTTACGGCGTCCAGCACCTTGTCTCATTTTCGTCTCCGTCATAACAGCTTGTCCAAGCCACATCGTGTCTTAGAGGAACATACTCTTAGGCCGTGAGTTCACTCGGCGACCTGATGCTCGGCGACGTAGTTGCTCTTCTCGTCGAAGGACCAACTGACACCACTTGGCCTTTGCTCGCTGATTTGAAGAATCATCATCTGGATTGTCACGCCCAACAACGTCGGTGAGGACCTTCATCCAGCCTTCCTTGTCTGCAGCTGTGTCTGCGTAGAAGTCGATAAGTTCACCGTTGTTGAATCGAATACGGAATCCTTCCTCGACAAACATGTAACCTTCTTCATCTTCCGCAAAAGCAGATCGACGTCGTCGGCCCCCCCTGCCAGTGGTCTCCTTTTCTGTCAACGCTCGGCGATCGTCAATTAGCCGTTTGGCGTTGGCCAGGTTAATAGTAGCTCGAGGTTGACGAGTTGCCTCATGATAAGCAGTGAGCTTGGTGCCCACAAGCTTGAAATACCTGCGACGCCAGTACTGGATCAATGTTAGCTTTGAAAAGAGAATAAGAGCAGGTCAGTAAGAACTTACAGGACAATCACCACCTTGTTGACTGAGGTGACCCTCCCAGTTGCGCGACATTCTCTCCTCTGCTGCCTTGAGTTCCCGAATGCATGAGTTCATACTTTTGGGCATATCGTCGTCCGTAGCATTCTTAGGGCGAGGAACAAAGAGGAGCTGGAGCTCCAACTTGCCCACCTTGTAGGGTGCACGTCGGACAACGGCCGTGTTGCCACGCTTGCTTTTGACACTGGACGCAAATCCAGCCTCTTCCGTGGCCCATTCATTGAAACAGGCAACCTCGGCCATATAAGGTCGACCAAAGCACCGACTCTCATGTTCCCGAAGACAAACATAGGCGCGACCGAAGCTACCGTCCTCCGCAGCCAGAGGGGATAGAAGCTCGTAAGCTGTGGGAGGTCCGGTGCGCTGCTTGGCCTGGGCGTCTTTTTGTTGCTGTACAGCTCGCTCCTCTTCTTCCCGCTGGCGGAGCTCCAATTCTTTGCGTTTCTTTGGTGATGCGAATACCCTGCTGAAGGTCGAGGTTTTGTGCTTATGGGTCTTGACTGTAGGTGGCGGCGGCTTGGCACGCTCAACGGGTTTCTCGAGCTTAACGTTGAGGGTCAGTTGAAACTCGAGGTCATTAGGCACGACGAGTTCAAACTCCTGGCCAATTGGGGCATTGCGTGCTAGCTCAAGCCATGCTGTAGTCACACAATGTACACCATTATCGAGGGTGAGACTGAACCAAGTTCGCTCATCTGCTTCTGTTAGACGTACCCTTGACCAGTTAATGGCTGAAACTCACTTCTTGGAAGAGGCAGGTCAAGATCCTTGACACCCATGACCTTGACGAATAGCCGGCCTCTCTCTCCGCTTTCTGGTGTAGCCATTTCAAGGGTCAGGTCCTCGTCGATAGGAGTATGACTGACGGCTGTTGCGTTACTTTCTTGACCGGGCATGGGGGGCACAGGCCCAGTGCTGCCGCCAACACGCTTCCGCACGCTTCTCTGGCGAGGCTTACCGTTCCATGGCTCGACAATGCATGACATGGGCCTATCCTCCTTGACAGGAGAATTTCCGACGGATCTGGCAACTCGAAATTCTTCGGTATCCTTGTCACTGGCGGTAACAACTTTCGTGTTTTGTCGCATAAGATAACCGCGCTGACGACGAGATGTTACGTTAGCATTGAGTCCTTCAGCGATTTGTTGTTGGGCTTTTGCTGCAGACACTTGTCTGCTGGGGCTGTTGTAGGCTGGGGGTTGAGTAAGGAGATTGTTGTAAGCCACCTTTTGCGCCTCGATGACTCGCTCAAAGTCTTGGTCGAGGCTGAGACCTAAGTCAAGATCCAATGTCAAGCTGCGGTTCTTGAAGCTAGGATGTCGGTTGATGAATTCGTCACCAGTGAGCAAGAGTCCATTATTGTCCTTCGAGAGGCGCTTGCTATGCTTGTCGGGAATCGGCGGGACATCAGGCACCTCCATGCTCACTTGTCGGCGAGCCTCTCGCATCGCACTAATGTCTGAGGGAGTGTTTGACAAACGAGTCTTAAGTTTTGAACCCGGGGCCTTGATGGTGGCAGATCGCTCGGGGATAGCGGCTTGCTCAGGTTCTTCCACACGGACGGGAACTGGGTGATGAATAACCGAGTCTGGTGTACTGGGGCAGTCATCCTCATATTCGTCTTCAGGATCACCCCATCCAGTACCATCGTACTCAGGCTTGGAGAGATGCTCAGGAGTGAATGGGCGCTGAAGGTAAGCATGAGCATCAGCCATTTTGAGAGCTTCAGGCTCCTTGGCTTCTTTCACGGGCTCTTCAACTACCTCAGGCTCCTCAGGCTCGGGGAGCATGTAAGACTCAAAATCTCGCGAGAAGGAGGCATCTTTGTCACCAGAAGCAAAGTCTGGCAATGATGATACGCTCTGGTTTTGTGTATGAGTAGGTCTAGGTGTCATGACCTCCTCTCGGAGGTCGGCGAGCTCTGGACTTTCCTTTCTTGCCTCCTCTTGGACTTTTTCAGGTTTGGCTTGTGCCGGTGTAGGCTCCTGCGACGAATAGTGACTTTCACTATCACTGTCAGCTGGTAGCTCCAGCTTGGACTCCTCTTCATCGAAGTCGACGTCTGAGTCCTCGTAAAACTCAATCTCGTTCTCAGGCATTCTTCTGATGATGACACTACCTTCCTCTTCCTCTTCTTCCTCATCATCTGACATATCGTGCAAAGAGTCTTCGGTAGACGGAATAGGCACATCAGGGTCCGCAGGAACCTGCCTTTCAGGGCTTCTGCTTGGGCTTCTTGAGGTAGGAGGGGAAGAGAAGATGCAATCCTTTTCTTGATCGGATGCTTTGTTGTTACCGTTGACCTTTCGCATGATGGAGTCCCGGGAAATACGAGGAGGTAATTGATAATCATCAAGAGCCGACATGTCGCCAACAACGTCATCCTGTTCTTGAAGAGCATCGTTGAAGCTGGTTGTTGACTCAGGCTCGGAAATTGGGCTACTCAATCGTTCGCGGCCATTAGCTCTACGAAGGCGACGCTCACGCTGCTGCTCAGCTGCTGTCTTGCCATCGCCATCATCTGACAACATCATGAGTCTCAATCGCTCCTCAAGCGACATCTTGGCGTTGCCAATGCTATGGATGTCTGACTTGCTTGTGGCAGAGGCTTGAGGAGGAGAAGGGAGGTTTCTGTTAGACCCAAGCATTCGTTCTGCGGTTGCTGACAGACTTGGCGATGCAGGTGAAGAGGGTGCAGAGTTGTTGCGGGAATGACTCATAAAACCGGGAAGAGGTGGCAGAGGTCGATGCTCCCCATTTGAAGCTGTGGAGTCACTTCGAATGTGCAAAGGACGACCAGCCGTGGCAGCAGAAGGTGTACTCTCAGGCATGGGACTGTCACTATACTCGCGGGGCCCATTGCGGTTCACCATGGGGCTATCACCTCTCCAATCATCAGGTCCAACAACAGGAGTTTTGTCTGTGTCTTCCAGAGAAGCGTCAAAGCTATCGCCCTCAAGATCGACACGGCCAGGATCATAGAGGACGTCATCATCATCCTCATCATACTCGATTGACTCATAGCTACCCTCACGAGAGTTGGTGCCAATAGAAGACAGGTCAGGAGTTGCCATCTCATATTCGTTGATCTGAGGAGGCGCGGCATCAAAAGTCACACTTTTTGCATGACGACGTCCCATTGGATGATCATCGTCCTCTTCGGGTGAGCCAAATGACCAAGTGTTTGTCTCCATGTCAAAGCTGTTCTTGAACCTTGAGTGTGAAAGGGAGGACTTTGTAGGCGACACTTGATCTCGGCTGGGCGTCAGAGGACGATTCGGTGAGCCGGCTGCCTGAGTAGACGACTTTGGACTGACGGCGGGAATAGTCATCGCGCTGTCACTTCGAGAATGACCAAAGATTGGGCGCTCGATAGTCGAGGAGCGGAAGGATCCAGTCGACCCAAAGGCGTTCCCTTGGACCTTAGCGAGGGGTCTTTCGATCTGAGGGATTCGAGTGGGATCATATTCCTGCTTCTGTTCGAGTGCAAGGATGTTGCTGTTCCTCACTCGAGATGCTTTCTGAAGACGCTCAATCGAAGAGCGGCGGTTTGGTGATGGTGACCCAGATCCGTACAGGTTTTCAGAGTTGCGGTTTTGCCAAAACAAACGAGGAGATGTCACTGATTCCACAGGTGAAGGCTGGAATGGTGACGAGTCGGGATTTCCGGGGGACTTCTGCATGCTATCAATACAGAAGGCCAAACATGAGCTGGCGGTCAGCCGACGTACCTTGGGAGAACCAGTAGATTGTCTATGCCAGCTGGGAGAGTTTCTTCTCATCTCTGTCGGTGAGAGCTCCGACAGCGGGCGAGGGATTCCACTCGCCATGATGGATGGACCTTTGGTTGGTGTAGTTGTCTTGTTGATTCGCAAGGGGTGCACCTGAGATTTAGTCAGAGACATTTTGCCCGAGAATCAGGGCGAGTGGCGCGGTCTACATACCGATTCAGTAGCCATGCTACAGTAGTGATGGGTAATGTTGTCGCAAGTTGAAGCAAGCGACTATCAACGCATTGGTATGCGAGTCAACTATACACAAGGAAATGAAGCAGAGGAATGTTGCGACTCGGTGTGCAGCACAGCACCAAGTGCGAATGAATGCAAGTAAGAAATGCGACCAATGTCTGCTGATAGAAGAAAGAAATACGCCTTGAACGGGCAACCAGACGACAGCTCTATCAAAGGCTAGACGACTCGACTCGACACAACTTTCACGAAGTGATGTTATGTTATGAAAGTCGTAGGTTAGAAGAGCGTCTATGGCGAGTTGATGTGTTTAAGGGAAGCACATAAAGCAGCCCAAGGGATGTGCCTGATTGGACGATGGGAAAACAAACATGGAAGGCGTTGCCTGGGAGACGTTAGACAGAACCGAGCTAAAGTCGGACGTTGGAGACGCTAATCATCTTGCTACAATGCAGCAGGGTGCTAGAAACTTACCCCGCCCCTGCTATAGCGGCTCCCCTCCAAGGACGATCCAGAGCTTCCCTCCACTACAAGGGACGCCAACCCAGCATCCCTTACAGCGTCGCAACAGGAGGACTGCGCGCTACACAGCTCACAGTCGCCATGGCAGCAGCGCAACCAGCCGCACTTCAAAAGCAAATAATTGGTTGCTTGGCCCAGCATCATCCTTGATAACCTCTGCAACGCAATGTTTACATGAGCGCAGCCAGTGTTTAGTGCTTGTTGTTTTCCCCAACTGAGCTTCCTCTCTATGACGTTTTTTTCTTCCGATTTCGTTTCACCCCTGGAGATGGAGAAAACTCAATGGGGTCTGTGGCACCAAACTGCGGGTTGCTGCAAGTTTTCTGCAAGTTTGTGCGTAGTAAATCAGTCGTGAAGTCTCACAGTAGTGATCTTGCATTCAATTTCCTTTTTTCGCTCCTCGTACCTAACCTTAGTACTTACCAGAACCTCAAGATCCCCCACCCTGTCGAGCATCCACCAGTCTAAAACGATGCCTCTGCCATGTCTTGCATCACGATCTTCCCGAGCACCACTTGAGGCTATTCTGGCACTAAACCTGGCGTTAGATAGCTCATCAGAAAACATATCCACACCTGGTTCTCTGTGCTCATGTTTGTTTCTTACTAAACGTTGTTGTTTACAATAGAGTCTCACATTGTCTTTCCTATCTCATCCGCACTGACCTTTCGCTTAACCACGGGCCAGGTCTGGATCTTTGTTTTTGCTATTCGATCATTATTAATGTACATAGTATTTCGAATCAATAATATCATGGACCTGCATTACTTCGATCGATTCAATACGACGCAACCAGCCTTGGTTCCTGGCTGGCCGCAGCTTCTTGTGCAAAGCTTACGAGATCTAGATTTCGACACGTCCACTTTCAGGTGGGCATGAGAGATACAAAAATGTCTTAACACTAAATCAAATCAATAAATCGTTTATTTATTATGCTGGAACCTTAGGCAGAACTACCAAACATTTCCTGCCATTTGCCAGAGTGATGCCTGTAATGATACCTTAGTGATTAGGTAGGTGACCCTAGTTTGATGGCCGCTATAAGCATAGGCACACTAACTAACCTTGATAATGTTCTGTCACAGGGTAGTCGACTGCTCTACTCTTCTTGGAATTCACTGGTGCAATGTTCATATATCATACAGCTGCATGCAGCCTCACCAATATTGCTGCTTCAGAATTAGTTCAAAAGTGATTCTATTTTCTTTCTAATTGCCTTGCTTCTTGTTCCAAGCAACGCAATCATCAAACTTGACACCCGAGCCTCCGAAACAGTCCAATGCGCTTCCAATTGTGAGATCCACCTTACCGTTGCTAAGCTTCTTCACATTCTCCAAGTCTTCAAGATGTCTACCACCTCCAGCATAAGTTACTGGAATCGAACACCATTCAGAAAGACGCCGCACAAGCTCCTCATCAACTCCCTTTTGTAGACCCTCGTTATCTGCAGCGTGGATCAAGAACTCCGAGCAGTAAGGCTCTAAAGACTTGATAGATTCTATGCCTGGTGAGTAAGTGACTTTGAGCATACTTGCGGATGTTTACCTTGGTTGACTTCCATATCTGTGATTGTTTGCCATTTGTTCATTGCAACGAACCAAGAATCTTCTCCTCGACGACGGCAGCTCAGGTCAATAACAAGCTTGTTCTTATCACCGCCAAGAGCTTGCAACACTGCGTCAAGCCTCACTTGGCTGAAACGGCCCTCGGGGAAAAGGTACGATGTAATGATGACCTAATGGATGTTAGATCGCTCGTATGTGATGCTTTCTTTGCTGTACCTTCTCTGCTCCAGCATCCAGCCATTCCTTTGCGTTCTTGTCATTAATGCCACCTCCAACCTGAAGACCACCCGGCCAGGCTTCAAGCGCCTCTTTAGCAGGCCCCTCATTTCCTGAGCCTAACATAATGACATGTGCACCAGTAAGCTCATTGTCGCGGTATAACTGAGCAAAATGAGCCGGGGGATGTTGCGAGACATAGTTGGTTTGAAGAGCCGACGATGTGCTGTCAAGCGTACCGCCAACAATCTGCTTGACCTGACCTGCGTGAAGGTCAATACAGGGCCGGAATCGGGTCATAATGAAGATGAGTTTGGATGATCAATTCAGGTTAAAGATCAAACTATGTGGCTTTCGTCCCACCCACCACCACCAGGCAGAAAATCGAAGAAAGGCGGGGCAGTTGTGATGAGTATTGGATAGTGGTTGTTGAACTCAATTTAGAAGGTATACTTCGATTTGGAAGATATCAATTGGTTTGAACTCGCCTGGAGAGCCCCGGAGAGTCGAAGGGAAGCCTAGCTCTTCTATGAGGTACTGAAGGACAAAGAAGACTGTTAGATGTATCTAATGAAGTATATTCTGATTGGTACATGTGGTTCCAGTGCTATCTTATCACCTTAGTGAGTACTGAGCTCAAAATCATGAGTGCACCTCTTTTTCATGCATTGATTAGTGATGAAGGACCAGGAGTAGGCCAACGTTATAATATTTTCACCGTACGTGGCTTAGAGCTAAGCAGTAAAGTTTTCCTTAATGACCTATCTCCAATGACTACCTAACTAATACCACTCAGTATACACTCTTATTGTGAGAGGGATGCCGTTTTCTCGTCTTTCTTTCTCCTAAGCCCAAGCTTTAAAGGAATGTATTTATCGCCGCACGCATATTGACATTGACAGAATCCTAGAATTGCTTCATACCAGCGCTCCATTCAAAATCAAAGTAGTTTGCTCATCGATTAGTCAAGCTCCAACGTGTTTTAGTTCTTCTTCACAGAAAACCCATATGTATCGCCTCGATCCAGAATTACTACTCGACCCTCCATCCCGGCTTCCTTTACAGCTGTCTCAAAGTCTTTTCGGGGAGACAGAAATACGTCGTAGTCATCGTAATGAATTGGAATTGTAACCTCTGGATCCATCATTTTCATTAACTCAACACCTTGCTTCGCATCAAGTGTGACCATGATCAATGGTGCAGATGGCCCAGGGATAGTGGTGCCTCCAAGGTGGATGAGCATCAGATCGATACGCTCTTCTCGAAGCCACTTCGGAATTTCCTTGAGCTCATCCACAAGAAGAGTATCTCCAGAGATGTAAATCCGGTAGCCAGTTTGGAGTTTGCCATTTTCAACTTTGTGGTAACCCAGCTCGAGCATCCAGCCATTTGTTGGCGGAACAGCACCAAGCAGGTCGTTGACTGCAGCCAGGGGGCCAGGGGGAATATGCTTGCCAGGCATGCCTGTGACTTTGATGACGGGAAGAGGTTCACCAGCCTTCAACTCTTCATTTTTGAGCTCCAAATGGTCGAAAAAATCGAGTGGTTTGACATTGCGAAACGGCTCGTCCTTGGACGTCAAGCATTTATGCGCATGAGGCGTGGTGACAATTAAGAAATCTCTATTGAGGGAATCTTCTACCAACCGATCGAAGTGATCTTCATGGTAATGCGAGAGAAGAACTGCGTCCAGTGATGGCAGCTCATGTAGGTCAACCGCCGGGTCAGTTTGCCTCTGAGCAGTAACTCCAGGACCAAGATGCACGTGATCACCAGCATGGAGGAAGTTGGGATCTGTGAGTAGTCGAAATCCTTCCCATTCGATTATGGTAGTGGCCGTGCCGATAAAGTAGACATTCGCATTTTCATCGCCTTCACTCCCTCGGGGGTGAGTCTTGATTGCCTTTGGGAGGAGAGACTGGTCATCGCCACGAGTTGATTTATCTTTCAGCAGAGGCTGCCTCTTGGACAATCCTAAGCCAATTGATCCCTTTTCAGACATGATGAGGCTTTAGGAATGAATGACCTCTTCTTTTTTGTTCTTTTTGTTCTGTTTGAAGTTATGTATTTGTTTGGCGAACTCTTGTCCTACTGAAGTAGCATGCAGATTTCACTCGATGACGCTCGTCTGGCGCACTTCTCTCGTAGCCAGCAATCAAACCACTCCTTTATCATTGCTTCAGCATTAACGAAACATCATCATAGATATCACATCGAATCCACCCCAAACAACAACACTGATTACCTTAGAAACTTGTATACAGTGCTCATAAGCTTACTAATATATCTTATTCCCCTCGAAAATTCTAAATAGAAGGTCACCAAGCGATAATATGTAAATAATAAGGTCAATAACCTCAACTCCTTTGGGGCTTGTTTAGGTTGTCGCCAACAACTAAACATCTCTGAAATACTCAAGAAGAGCAGAGATCTACTAAAGATAAAGGTCGAGTGGTGTAGTGGTTTATCACGTTCGCCTCACAGCTATCAGTTGTTCGCGAAAGGTCCCGAGTTCAATCCTCGGTTCGACCTTGCTTTTTATTTTAATATTATTTTTTAGCATTCTCAAATGCTCTACAGTATCATACAAGCAGTTTTGTTTATTTCGTGGAACTTAAGTTTATTCTTCAAATATTTCTTCTTATGCATTTCTGTTGTTTAGGTACATATATCCAAATACCTGATTACTATTCTGTTGACCCTGACTCTTGGAAATCCAGCTTGACCATCGACTGTAGGTTGCGGTAGCTCTTCATAGCTGTATCTCGTGCCGTTGCTGGGATGACGTTGTTGAACTCATTTGTTTGTGCATAGGTCTGACGAGCCAATAAGATCGCAGCGCTGTCCATCCAGGCCGCGAAAGCTGAGGGGCTTTGACCGACATGTACACTGATGATGACCCATTCTCGGGCATCAATATGAGATTTTTCAACCCTCAGCCAATTTGATCATTCATAAATCCTGTGGGAGTCTTAGAGGTAATTCTGCGACAACTATTGTGGTATGCGCCCGCGACCTCCTCTGCGCACTTGCTATTGGCCTGTAGCCTTGATCGACGATGCCAGACCGCAGTCTGTCGCATGATTCCCGCGATGGAAGCTCTCCGGAGCCAGAACGTGATCGCGACAGACCACGCGACCGTGACAGGGATAGAGAAAGAGATAGGGATAGGGACCGAGAGAGAGACCGGGAAGGAGATCACGACCGCGACTTGGACCGAGACCTCGATATTGATCGGGATGTCGATCGAGATCTAGAACGAGACAGAGACCGCGACTACGATAGGGACAAAGACAGAGAAAGAGAAAGAGAAAGAGAAAGAGAAAGAGAAAGAGAAAGAGAAAGAGAAAGAGAAAGGGACCGAGATAGAGATCGCGACAGAGATCGCGACAGACCACTAGATGATGCAAGGGACAGAGATCGCGACAATGGGAGAGACAGAGGTAATGATCACGGAAGAGATAGGGATCATGTCAATGGGAAGGACAGAGACAGGCTCAAGGATAGGGATGTCGACAGAGATAGGCGTCGCGAGAGCCGTGTTCCTCCGCGTGTTCCCCGAGAACCCCGCGATAGAGACCATCCTTCGAATTCTAGCAAGCGAAACAGTATCACCGACCGCCTGCTTGGATCGTTTAGAGCAGTTCGTGGTGAAAAGGAGAAGGAAATCCCAATTCCAGCTGTCGCGTCCTCAATTCAACGCCGGGCATCTTCCGCTGTTACCAAGGGTGGCCCAGTTCTTCGCATTCGCGAGTGGCTTGACGCTTGTAACGCGGATCACCACCACCACTGCGCCGTATCTTCTGATATTGATATCACAACATGGCGCCCTACCTGGCTTATTGACGTCGTTGAGCGGCGCCTAGTCAAGGCAACACCCAAGGACCGTTATTTGGCTCTCAGCTATGTCAGCGGTACCCAGCGCAACGGAGCACAGATGTTTACACATCTACTTCAGTCTAATGTGGAAGCTTTCCAAGACCGCCTGCCTAACCTCGACATGCCTCAAACTTATCTGGACGCCATGTGGCTTGCTAAGAAACTTGGAATTCGACACATTTGGATTGACCGTATCTGTATAACTCAGGACAATCGGGAAGAGATGGATGATCACATTAAGCACATGGCATACGTCTTTTCTAATGCTTACCTTACTATTGTTGCAGCTACTGGCGATGTCCATACAGGACTGCCTTCACTTGATCCAAAACGATCAACGCGCGGCCTTCGAACTACTGGTCGTACTCACCAAGAGTTGGTTGCCGCCTCGCCATGGTATACGAGGGGCTGGACTTTAGTAGAGCGCATTTATTCTCGACGTTCGGTCTTTTTCTTTGAAGACTCAATAACCTGGGAATGTCACTGCGAGACATGGCAGGGAAGTCCAAACAGTGTGATGAAGAAGCTCAGAGGAGGTCGCCAAGAGTGTACAGGCGCTGTCCCTGATGCTGCGTTTGCGTTTCAGCACCCGCCTTGGCCTGATCTTGATGAGTATTCCCGCTATGTGATGGAATACAGCGCACGGAAATTGACGCTTGTCGACGATACGCTGCCTGCTTTTGCTGGAATCACTCACGTTCTATCCCGCTCTTTTCCTGGCGGCTTCATCTATGGTATGCCGATAATGTTCTTGGACATTGCTTTGCTGTGGCGCCCACACGCATCCATTCGACGAAGAGCTCTCTGTCGTCCACCATTTCTCCCATCTTGGTCTTGGATGGGCTGGTGGTTCGACAACATTCCGGTCGACTTGACTTTGTGGAGAGCCGCTGCAGACTATGTTGAAGAGGCTCGGACCGGAAAACGTGGTCAAGAGACCAAGCGATACCGATCCGCTCATCCTTTCCGGATCAAACCTACCGTTACTTGGAGCTTGACGGACCGAGCCGCAACCGCCCCGGTTTTGAACACCGGTCTTCAGTACCGTGATCTTCGGGGTCGTCGGAGCCCTAGTTCGGAGCTCCCTCCAGGATGGTCTCGCACTGGCTCGTACTATGTTCACGATAGTGACGAGTCTGCGTTGTTCAAATACCCCGTCCCTGTCGAGGATCCTCCCGAGACGGGTGGTTATGAGCCACCTGTAGGCGAGCAAGCTTACCCCGGCCCACTGCTCTCATTCAAAACAACAAGTGGTTTTTTTGAGGTTGAGTTTCACACTACTCTCGCTCATCGCGATCGAACCAATCCACCCCTCGCTGTAGGTACCATTTGGAATAAGGCAAACCGATGGGCAGGCCAGTTCCGTGCTCACGACGCTTGGCTCGGTATTCAGTCTTCCAACTATGATGGTGAAGAACGACTGGAGTTCATCGCCATATCAACGGCTACAGAGCGCCGTGGTTCGCACGTATTTGATAATGAGAAGTTTGAGGAGCATATGGATGCAGACGAGATGATTGACTTTGTTAACGTGCTTTGGATCGAGCGTATTGGAGATATTGCGTACCGAAGGGGTGTTGGTCAGATCTTACTTAAGACCTGGGAGGCACAAGCCAAGGATGAGGTAGGAATTCTACTTGGTTAGGGTGACACTTGGATAGCACGGAGTTGGTGTTTGCGTTGAAAATGTGCTTTGCCCTGGAGTTGGAGGAATTTGTCTAAACCTGTGGTGAAGCGCGGCAAATTGCTCCTTTTTTATGCGCATTTTGCCTCATCTTAAGACTAAGGTAGTTCACCTTCGAGAATCGACATTACTGAGAAAGGTGGTATCTTAATGTGCAAGGCAGATACCATACGATTTCTTTCTTGGTTGTACAACATATTAGGTAGGTAGTTAAGTAGTTCGTGCAACACGTACTGTCCGAGACATTAAGGAAATATCTCAAATATCATGGCAGGGTTTTCGCGAACTCATTCCATGCGCTTCCGCCGTCTGGGTCTCCAAGATGAAACTTTAGTAATGTTAAGGAATAAAACAATTGGGAGTTTTACTTATCTGAGGTCTGGGTTGATGATTGAACGGTCCGCTGTGATTGGCCCCTTCCCCTTGCCTCAGCCGCCCAATATCTCCGCCTGACTCTGGCACATGGGGACCCTTAACCGTCCCGTCCCCCGTTAGATCGGATCTTATCCTTCTCGGTAGCGCCAGTAAGGGGAATCAATGTCATCATCTCGCTGCCCCCCACAACCCGCGTCCTCCATCCACCACGAGTCACATTCCACTCATTGTGACTCGCCGCGACATACCTCTCTACATTGTCAGGCGAGCAAGCGACCACGCGATACAATTCTGCAAGTCCAGTGCTTGATAACTCGGGCTATACGGGAGCTATCCAACACGCGCGCATGCGCTCCCTCGGCGGCTCAACAATCCTGAGTTGAAGCTATATTCGACGACTCTGCCACTATCCGAAGTCACGTCTATCGTTATACCTACACCATACGCTCAAGGCTTATCTGCGACGAACTTTAACGAACGACGTTAATACGCAGACATCATGGAACGCGTTCGCAAAGCATTAGGTCGTCGACACTCATCAACGTCAACATCAGAATATGAGCCTTTGACTGGTAACGAGGAAGCCACTCCTTTAGAAGGCTCCACAGTACTCGAGGGTCAACATGAGTTGCCGTTCTCGTGGATAGAATATAGTATCTTCGCCCTGCTGGGTGTCGCTATGCTCTGGGCTTGGTGGGTTTCCCTCTTTCGTATCCTGTGAATGTTGTGGTTAACGCAAAAATAGGAATATGTTCCTTGCTGCAGCTCCATACTTCACAGCTCGCTTTGACGGCGATGCTTGGATCCAGTCTAACTTTCAGTCTGCGATATTGACAGTCTCTACTGTCACAAACCTCGGTGCTATGCTTGTTCTCACTAGTATACAGTACTCAGCATCATACCCTTTTCGAATCAATCTGGCACTCATTATCAATGTTTTCACTTTCAGCCTCCTGACTGCTTCTACAGTCATCGGACTAAGCGCGTCGCCAACTCTATATCTCGTGTTTCTGCTTGCCACAGTTGCTGCTGCTGCCTGGGCAGCTGGTCTTATACAGAATGGGGCATTTGCTTTCGCAGCCAGTTTCGGACGTCCAGAGTACATGCAAGCAATCATGGCTGGACAGGGTATTGCCGGTGTCCTCCCTCCGATCGCGCAAGTTTTCACCGTGCTTGTCTTCCCCCCCGAAAAGGAGCAGAATACGTCTATCAAAGCACCATCCCCTGAAGATGGTCAGACATCAGCTTTCGTTTATTTCCTCACCGCCGTAGTCGTGTCAGTTGCTGCGTTGTTGTCCTTCGTCCCATTGGTTCGTCGCCATAACCACATCATTGAGAACCGCATGGTTGAGCAAATGAATGAGTCCATGCACAGCATTGAAGAGGCCGAACGTGCCGCTCGCAAGGTCACATCCCTTTGGAGGCTTTTCACTAAGCTTCACTGGCTTGCCATTGGTGTGGCACTCACTTTCATTGCAACAATGTTCATGCCCGTTTTCACAGCAAAGATCCATTCTGTGAAGGAAAACTCCGGCGCCCTCTACCAGCCTTCCGCTTTTATTCCTCTCGGATTCTTCTTTTGGAATTTAGGTGATTTGGGCGGTCGCGTAGCCACAATATTGCCTTTCTCCCTACGACACCGCCCCTTTGCTCTTTTCGTTCTCTCTATTCTCCGTTTTGGTATACTCCCATTATACTTGCTTTGCAATATTGATGGACGTGGTGCCATTGTTTCAAGCGATTTCTTTTATCTCTTCATTGTCCAGTTGATATTTGGTCTCACCAACGGCTGGCTTGGTTCTAGTTTCATGATGGCATCGGGCGAGTGGGTGGATGAAGGTGAGCGTGAAGCTGCCGGCGGCTTCATGGGGTTGTGCCTTGTGGCCGGGTTGTCCATCGGCAGCCTCTTGAGTTTCACAGCGGCAGGTGTCTAGAATGGGTTGCACAATATTACACTAGAGCTGGTTTTGGCGTTTGGGTGAATCGGATTTGAGAAACGATAGATATCGAACATTGAGGTACTGTAGTCCTTCCTATATCTGGGTATCGGATGCAGCCAATCATGAATATACGTCATATATCAAACCGGAAACCGTACCCTTCCTTACAACAACCTTGAACCTAACGCCGCGCCCCCCTGATTGATGCAACCAACCATGCCCATACCCATGCTATGCTGTGCGAGCCCGCTGTCGTTGAGATGCACCGATGCAACCTTGCAATGCAAAAATAGAAAGAGAACTGAGATTCCTGTACGCAGATTTGCGAGTGAGATCTCAAGAATGCCTGCCTATGGCCTTGCAGACAACCATTTCAGGAGATTCCTGCAGTGTGTTAGCAGGGATGAACCGGCTGGCACCTGAAAATATGACGTGTAAGACTTACGGAGGCTCATTCCGAAATGGGCACACTTCGGCCTTTGGCTTATCCTTCCTGCCTGGCTCGAGCAGTCCCGTGAGCTTGACAGGATGTGTTGCCATCCAGTAGACCAGGGCTTGCTTGGTCATGGCTTCCGTAGGGAAATGTGTTGTTTTACTGGGAAGTGGGTGAAGGTAAGGATCTTTGGCCTTGATGCCGATAATCTTTACAAACCGATCCCGCCGACGGGTCCACTCAAGAAGGCATTTGGTAGGAGGGTGGTAGTATTGCCCGTTACACATGATCCAGTCAGCGGTGTAGCACCCGGAATCGATAAGGTCTTTCTCGGCTGACGTCCATCGTTTGAACTTTATGTCGGTATCCTTGAGATCGAAGTCACCAAGTCTAACTCGAAGCCGTTGTTCGGGAGGTACATCATGACCCAAGTTCATCTGGACGAAACATGTGCAATCGCGAACTGTCATGGCCAAGCTAAACATTGGATCACTCTTCTCAGCACGTAAAGGCCCCCTGGTATCAGAAAGATTCTGAAGCCACCGAAGATCACGAATAACTTGATGATCGGCAGTCTTTGCAAGGAGTTCTCGGACCATCGGATTGTTGGCCTGTGACGCAAGTTTAGGAGCGAAACGGAATGGCGAACTGATATTGGCGGGAGCGTCGGGGTTTGCCAGTGTAAGGGGGCATGGCTTTTGCTCTGGCGCATGTCTTGAAGGACTCGGATCCCGGAGAAAATTGAATAGTTCCATGGCGCATTGCCGACATCGTATGGCCCCTTGGGGAGCACTTGGTGATTGATTCAACCACTTTGGCTTGAACTCAATGAGGATGCTGTTTTTGGGATCTACCAGCAATGGTAAGCGGCTTGAGAAAAATACACCCTAGGAGTGAAAGGCCATCATACCAGATACTCTCATATCTTCTACGAGAAGGCCCCAGTTAGACTCCGAGATGAATGATCCCCTGAACTTTTCTTTGCGCTGATGATCTATTGACCGAAGGAAGGCGTTGAGCTGAGGAATGATATTGGTATGACGAAGTACCACGAGCCGTTGCTGGATGGCATGTGTCTTGAGAAATGGAGTGATTTGCTTTGCGTAGAATTCCTGTTGTTTTAGATAGTTGAACCTGGCTGGCTGACCACTCGCAGGAGCTTTGGCAACACGAAGAAGCCAACCTGAACAACACATCAGCACATATCAGTTATTGATAACACTAGATTGGCCAACCTTTAAAATCATTCGCCCACATGTTTCCTTCTGGAATGCCCAATTCGAATACGACATTAGCAGCACCCTCACCGACCATCTTTATAGGGCGAGTTCCCATTGGAAGTCTCTTGAGACTTTCTCGAGTCCAAGAAAGGGGGACAGCACTGCCATTGAGCATAATAGACATTTCAACAACATCTTGAGGAGTTGGCCAAACATGGTCATCTTCTGAAGAAGAGAAACAAAGATCAGGATCGGTATCAGTCGGCGTGAGCTGTCCATCGGACAGAGACGGAGTTGACATGGTGTTTGGTTGATGACCGGGATCGTGCAGGCTGTCTGCAAGGTACCTTCAAGCCACCGATGTCGCGCGTTTGCTGGTGGGGGAGGGAGGGGAAGGTTATCAATGAGGAGGGCTGGGCTGGGCTTTAAATGGAGACCAAGAGGATGAGACAAAACTCGACAAGAGCTGAATTGGAGCAAAACAGAGCGGATATGAGTAAGATGGATTTAGTGAATAAGGGGAGAAGGAGGAAGAGGAGGAGGGGTGTGTGAATATGTACAAGAAGGAGCCTCGAATCGCTGATGGCTTTACAGGCACTTGCTTGGGCTTGCAGTTGCAGCTGCGCCAGCGTTGACTCGCCTGCTTCTGTCTTCTTTTCTCCTTCGAGATGGTCACGCTCTACAAATGCGTCTGCGTCTGCATCTGCGTCTGCGTCTGTATCAATGTTTCTGCCTTGAGTCGTATGTGTGATTGTTGTTCTGAACTCGGTTACCTTGTTTATGCCAGTTGTAAGTGGTACAGGAACAAACTCCCAAGGTCGTTGAGATAGGAATGATAGCTGGGAAGCCAAGTAGATCGTGACCAAACAAATTTTGGATAAGGACCGTCCAAAGCTATAATCCTTTAAACCAAGTTAGGTTTTGCTTCAACCCGCTCGGTCAAAGTCTAATAAGGCAACACTGCTGTTTCTGTCGCCTTGCGTGCGTGCAGGG